CTTAGCTGGCAGAAGAAGAATGCATCGCAATGGTCTGGCTGGAATTCCCATAGTAAATTGCTACCAGAAATTTTATAGTATTTCCACCTGACGAACTTTGATCTCTCTTTTAAAGCCCTAGTTTGATTTTGCTTGGTGCTGTTACATATAGAAAAGTACATCTGAAATGTTAACACTACTGTATGCTTCTGTGGACGTAAATACTGAGACTTGGGGAGGAATAAAGATGTACTTAGCTGAGTGATGTAAACACAGTAAGATGCTCTGCAGATGTAAAGCTTTAGAAGGAAACTAAAATACTGCGGTTGTTGAAAATTATTGATGTGATATACCATATCAGGATTGGTGTGAAGTATAAACCTCTCCCCAAAGTGTTTTGTGGATTTTTGTTTTATCTTATTTGGTAATACATGGATGTGAAAGGTCAAAGTTAGTTTTGTAGACAGTGTTGACTTGTAGTACTTTCTGACTTTTTGAATAACCCTTTTGCTAAATAGCTGTGTCTCTTGATAGATGGTTCTTTATGAGATTGTTTCTGTGAGAGATCACACTTTGTATGTGCAAGTAATAGTACTCATTAGGTCTGGGGACAGGTAAGATTGACAAACGGGGAAGTTGCGGGAAGCTGCTTTTGTACTGGTTTAGTCCTGCTTAGATGTCTCACCAGGACTTTATGGTACTGTAACTTGATGTAAATGAAGTCTTTGGTTTTTATGTTGTTGGATTGTATCCAGACTTGACAGTGGTGAGTAGTACCAGACAGACTTTTAATCTTTATATACTTAAAATACTATTTGGAAATCTCACCATCACTGTGTGGTTTTTCTATGTTATCATAATTCTTGGGGACCACAAACAAAGCCCATATAAAACTGCAAAATAACTGCTGGCTTCGTCTATAAAAATAATTCAGTGTCTGAATAAGTGTAAAACTGCTATATAGCAATGACTATAGTAAAATGTGCAGGTATAATATGCAGTCCTGGAGTGCTATATGCTACAGACTGGTAAACATGAATACTAGGCAGTAGATCACTCAGTGATTTGTAATTCAGATCCTCCAGTTGAAGATCTATTTGTTGCATCAGACTTGTCAAATGTTTAAATACTGTGAGGTGTTACAGCTACAGTTTTGAGAGGTATCTAGGAATGATTTTTAAAAGCTGCTACAGTTTCAGATTTGTCTTAGTCTGAAACTATTGTTAACAGTGGCAAATCTAATATAGGAACATGGTCTGTGTGTTGTACTGTACTATCAAAACTTTTTATAGCCATTTAATGACATGAAGATGCAAATATCTGTGTGGTGATAGTTTGGAAGGTAATTTATATTATAAATGTGTGTCTGTATATATAGTAAACCTATGCTAGGGATTGAATTGATAGCTACAGTTTTTGCAACTGTCTCCTATGTCAGATGGGTCAACCACAGGTGAAGAACCCCCCAATATTCCCTAGATCTACTTACAGTAGCTTCAATTAAAGATTTAAAAAAAAGACTGCTTTTCTGAGGCTTTCATAAATATTCTGGAACTAGTTTTTTCTTTCAAAATGCGACTTCTAAAGTGCACTGGGTTGATCCTATGCAGATAAGCTATAAATAATAGTAATAATTTTTAAAATATTTTACAGAGAGAACTCTCACATATCGTAATTGAAATGCTTTAATTTTGTCCGCAGAAAAGTGTAAACTTAGGTCTGAAGCTTGTCTGGGAAAAGCAGTTTGGAACTGTTGTCTTCTCACAAAATAAAGAAAACAGTGTCACTATGCAATATTGAATTAATGTGCTACTGTGCTTTTCTTATGTATGATCTGCTCTTCTAGCAGTTATGAAAGTGAACACTGATGTTAGGACATGAGTACGTTACCTCTTCCTTCTCTCAGCCTTAGCTTTTATCCCTCACTTGCTTTTTCAAAAAAAACATGGTGAAGACAATGAAATACTAGTGTTTTCCAGGGTTAATTTCCTAATGGCAGTGGGAAACACAGAAGCAATATTCAAAGGTACATCTGAGAAGCTATTAATTTATCCACTTTGTTAATATTTGGGATAGGGGATGAAGCGGGAACAGTAGCAAGGAATGCTTGGAAGTGAACAAAGAAGGATGAGTCTTTGATTAGAAAACTGCCTCTGTAGCTGCCCTAGGTCTTTGGCAGAGTTTTTCCTGTCCACAAAATTAAAGTGCTTTGCCCATCTTGTCATTATTCATTATAAATTTTGTTTGTTTGGGGGACTACTATGCAGTAGATGATCACTGCTTAGTACAGTGAGCTCTTTTGCCTTAAGGACACATAGGCAAGTATAGAGAATTTGGACAAACTGCATTCCCTAGGATGCTGCCTGTTTTGGTAGTTGAGAAATGCTTAACATGTACTGAAACGAGCATGTATTATTATCCTTCTACACTCAGTATTTAAGTGACATGCTTTTTCAACTTGGCATACCCTGCAAAACTGTGAGGCTTTGCATTACTTTAGAAAAGAAGATTAATGCTGGTTAGGAGGATGATATTAATTTGAGATGAGAAGAATAATTTTAGCTACTAGGTAAAAAAGTGTAGATGACATAATCCTTGGGTGAGGGAACTAAATGGGACTAGCTGAAAGGGCTATTTTTATTTTTTTGATAACTGTAAGCACTGTAAAAGAGACCAAACTCTATTTTCAAATTTGCATGTGAATTTTTTGTCAAAAAAGAAACTTGCTCTGTATATTTAAAGCTTGTGTAAACTTACAGTGCTGCATATTTAATGATTTCTGGAGAGAGAACTGGTTTAGGTGTCCTGAAAAATGCAAAAGGATATTTTATTTAAAGAAATACTGGAGTATTCTTAATATTGAAAATTTTACTGGCTAGTTATGACAGTGCTTCCAGAAATATTTGCATCAGAAGTGCTTAAAGAAAGCATTTGAGGGATAGAATTTGAAGGTTGGAGTAACTTGAGGAATCCATGGGCTTCTCTTTTTTTTCTGGGTACATACTTCTGTTGTTTTAAGGCAAGGTAGCTGCAAAGTTTCAATTCAAAATAAACTCTGGGTGGGTGAATGAACTAATTACATTGAATTATGTTGGAAGATGATGTTCGGGGAAGAAATCTTCTTTGGTTAGAAAACTACCTGTGTCAGTGCAGATAACTAACAAGTTTTAAAATTCAGTTCCTGTTAACATCTGAATTTAATTTTTAGAAATTGTTTTTTGTCTATTTCTGGAAATGCTAATTCAAGTGAATGCAGAAGCATGAGCAAGTCTGAAGCAAATCTGCTCTGGAGCTTCTGGTATTCCTTGTTGGGGATATTTCTTCCAGTTTGGCAATTTGTGTAGTCAATCCATAGTTAATGCAAAAGCAATGATTTTACATTAAAAGTATTCTGAGTTTGTGTAGGAAGGTATCATTTATGGGGACAAAACCCCACCCCCCACAAGTTATAAACTTTTTTCTTTTATTTTTTTTTAAGAGCTATAAACTGTCAGTGGAATACAGAAGTCGTCTTTGTACAGGAAACATATTGATAAGAATTTAAAATACAAGGGAAAAAACAGGTGAGGCAAGCTGGCTCTCTAAGCCCTTCCATGCCAGAACCAAATTAAATTACTAATTCCTTTCAGGAAGAAAGCTGGTATTAAGTTTGCTGGATTATTCAACATCTGTTTAGTATATCTCTTATCACTTAGCTGGATGTTACAGAGATTCATTGGTCTAGGAGAAGAATGTGATTGAAGTTTAAAAGTTAAAATACTGTGGTGTGTTAAAGTGGACTTGTTCCCATTGTAGTTTTACTTAACATATTGTCTTGCCAGTTTAGAGGCTGAGCAGATATGTGAGTTTCGATTTGCATGCAACCTAATTGTCTCTTCAGCCTTTCAACTGTCTTTAGTGTGAATATATATATATTTTTAAGAGTATTTGAATTTGATCAACAATTTCTCAGTAAATGAAAACTTGAAGAATGGTTAAGAATTGTACTGTTTTATTTCTAGTGTATATTGAGAGAACAAATTCCCTGTTTTGCATACATCTTTGGAATGATTTCCTTTCTTCTAGATACTAGGATACCTGTTTAAAACAAAGAAGCGTTCAGCTCTTTGATTAATTATACTCCAGAAACTATTGGCATACTATAATGATGAAATACTTATTGCTTTGTATAATTCATCTGGACTTGTGTTATTTCTGCTGCCTCCTTGAGGTTGAAGAATTTCCTTAATTTCATATCAGGAGGAAGGGAATAACCACATTTGAAATACAGAATCTTTGCAACTAATAAATGAATCGAGTATGGAGAATTGAAAGAATCTGTGTTGCTGCTGCTTCTATTTGATACTCATTATGGAAGTATAGAACTGGTCTGTGTGTAAGAGGGAAAATGAACAAAATTTGTTACCTTACAGTTGGAGTGAATCCTGGAGGTCTTGCTACAGAGATCCTAGAAATCTACATTATACATAATTTCCCATTGACTCCTCCGTGTTTTGGCTATTTAGCTTTTTATCTCTGTCACAACAGATTTTATTTTTTTTTTACATGCCTTGCATTATTCCACTCTTATTTCATTTGTCATCAATAAACATTCATAAGTAATGTTTAAAAAGGAGAGAAAGCTTCTTTAACACCTGAAAAATGTGATCACTTGATTATGATGCGTGTTTAGATTAACTTCCTTTTATACTAGTCCTGACATTTAGCACTACTAAAATAACTGCTTCATCATTCTGTTATGTTCTCATTAATGAAGAATCCCTTAAATAAGTATTGATACATAATTTTCATATTCTGTGTGGATAGAGATGGTGAGCCTTTTAACTTTTTTGTGTTACTCTGTGTTGTTTAAAAAATCTTTTTTTGGGTGATCGGTCAGGTCTGTGTGGTTAAATGTGCTAGCTAGAAGCAGGATGCTAACCTGTTTGAATATGGTATTAGTGATAGTGACAAGGTTAAGGTGTTTAGGTTTTTCTCCTATGTTACATACAACAATTATTCCTTAATGGTACCAATTCTAGCTTTGGTCGGCCAGGAGTTGAATGCTACTGCCAACATGACAGTGGAGCTGCAGTAATCCAGCTTCAGTTCCTGATTAATGAGGTTAGTAAAATGATGTACATGTTCCATAATTAAGAGAAGATACAGAGTATGTTTTCTTCAATTTCTCATTAACCAAGCATCAAAATCAGCTAGCACAAGTGGCTCTTAGCATGAATGGCAAATGGTAATAACAATTATAAGTAAATTAACTTTTTTAATTTTAGAAAATGCTTGACTAACTGCTGAAAATATCTTTGTCTCTAGAGTACTCTTGCTATAAGCAAAAACTTTTTTGCTAGAAATATTTATTCATGTCACTGAATATTGCAGGTTATCTCTTGAAGTAGTAAGTGTGGTTTTTTCAGTATTACTAACCGTTTCAGTAGTTTATTTTGATGGAGTTACTGTTTTAAACATGAGCTGAGCAATGATCCCTCAGTAATTTCAAATGTTTTTTCTAGGGGTGTAGTAGCTGAGAACTGACAAGAGTGCTGTTCTTGAGCTAGCTGATGTCAGACTTGTAGAGAGACTTCAGAGGAACGGTGAAGTCAAACCTCACTGACTTTGTCAGCACATAGATATGAGCAGCTGTGTTTTGCTTAATTCCTCTACAGAGGTGGGCATGAAGGAACTGATGTGCACATGCTGGAAAAAGTTTCTTCCCCATTGCACCTCAGTATAGCACTGAACCAAATGGGAGTGAGCTGCATGACATGTAATCGCATCAGTTATTTCTACCATTTAAAACTTATCTGTGCTATGGTGTTGATATGCATGCTTATAAATACTTTTTCATTCTGGTAGAAAGTATCTACTATTTCTATTGTGATGATACTGTTACTCGAGTTATGAAAATATGTTGACTAAAATTTTTTATTTCTCATAGGGAGCTCTTGTGAGTGCCTTGGCTGATGATACCTTACACCTGTGGAATTTACGTCAGAAGAGACCTGCTATACTTCATTCACTCAAATTTAACAGAGAACGGTAGGGATTGGTTTATTATTGCTTTGCACCTTACCATCACACCATGCACTATTGTAAGATCAGATTTATCAATGCAGTCCAATTCATAACTTGTTAAATAATCAAAAATGGATTTACATTGAGTTTGAGTACAGCCTGTTAGGGCCCAAAGTACTTGAGTAGACATACTAGTGACCTAAACTGAGATGACTTTTCTATCACTTTGCATATTGCATTGCTAAACATCAGTTTTCATATATTTAAAATGTGGAGGGATAGAAGACTTTCAGTGTATGTCTCCAAAGGAATTTTGGAACAGAAGAAAGTGCATGTGTATTTGTGTGCACTAACAGGACAACAGGAAAATTAATTCATTGTTTTAATGGAAGTTTTTCTTCTTGATGATAAACTGGAATTCTACAGTGTTAGAGCTCCTATAAAATTTCTAAAAGTGAGTTTATTAAATTTCGGGGAAAAAAAAATGTGTCTTTTAATAACAAGTAGTCCTTGCCTTTTGCAAAATAGCCCTTCTTTCCAGTATGGGTAAAGTCTCAAGTGGAAGGCTGTGTCTGCTTTTGAGCAGTGTGCTTCAGAGATGGTCTGACAGGGGGCCTCAAAGGATACTACTAGCAAGAACACAGAATAATCTGCTAGTTTTACCTCTGTTGAATAGAGCAGGAAGTAATAAGGTTTAAGTAATGGATAGCAATAGTAGGATGTATGTTAAATATTTACGTAAAACATTCTAATGTAATGTGATACAAAGTGCTAAAAAAACTGTTGGGTGGGTTATAGAGTAACCTTGTTTTTTTTACAACCTGCTCTTTAAATTTTGCCAGGAATAACATAAATGCAGATTACTGGGTTATTTTGGGGTAGAGGACTAAGTGATTCCAAGTCCCTTTTGAGGTTATTTCTATGATCACTGTGCATAAACTTTATACTAGGGCCTGTAGGGATAGGACAAGGGGTAATGGTTTTAAACTGGATGAGGATAGATTCAGGCTAGATAGAAGGAAGAAATCCTTTACTGTGAGGGTAGTAAGACACTTGAACAGGTTGCTCAGAGCAGTTGTGGCTGCCCCCTCCCTGGCAGTGTTCAGGCCAGGCTGGACGGGGCTTTGAGCAACCTGGGCTAGTGGAAGGTGTCCCTGCCCATGGCAGGGGGGTTGGAGTAGATGACCTTTAAAGGCCCCTTCAGACCCATGCCATTCTGTGATTTGAAACTGTTATGCACAAAACAGAAAGCTCTGAGAGAGAAAAATTCTCTGTTCCAGAGGAGTGGCAGTGTTCCTTTATGTAGCATAAAAGTCAAATAAAGAGAAATGCAATTCACAACTTCAGTTTAATGAAGATTGTCCAACTATAGGAGATGCAGTGGTGTATCCAAACCAGAGTTTGTCCCTCCCCCTTCCCTCTTATTTCTTAAATGACTTTTCTCTTACCTGTAGCACTTAAGTAAGTAAGTATAAAATTTGGATTTGCAGCCTGAAACCCCACTTCAACATTGATTTCTAATACTTTAAAAAAAGATACCTGAGAATGTGATTCTGATTGTGTGCTGGAAGCTGGTTTAGAGTTTTAGATGTATGGATATCTTTGGTTAAACAGAGTGAAAGTTTTAAACCATCCTTTTCCTGTAAATGTGACATTCTCACTAGCAAAACTTGTAGAGAGTTGAACTGTGAACTCTTACCAGAGAGAGGAGAGGAGGTAGAAAGGAATCATGTCACTCATGTCACTTTAGTGGTTTTTATTTGTTATTAATTTTGGACAGAGTACTGATTTTTTTCGAGTAAAACCTGTGCCTTGCTAAAATACGTAATGAGAGCACCATAGTTACTAAGAGCTATGAAGATATAGTTTAAGACAAGGGCTTATTCTTCTAGTAGTGCTTTTAATCTTTAAAGTATCCCTTATAGCATATAGAAATAGCCAGAACACTTAAGATCCCAGAACCATATGCTGTCATAGCCACTTATTAAGTCATCCTGGATGACTGGTTACTGTTTTCAAATACTCTGTTTTCTTTGGACTAGCTTATAAAATAAAGCTTTATAAAATACAGTGTAAAGAATTGCATAAATTCACTGCTGTATAATTCTAAATACTGCCTTTATAACACTGAGAGTTCTTAGTAATTAATTATACCTAATAGGTTTGATATGTGAATTTGAAGTAAATGGACTTTGCTTAGGTCAGCTTTATGATATTTATTAACTGCTAAGTTTGAGAAGAGTGTTCACGAATAAAACTGGATCTTCTTAATTCACAAGTGCCAAGTTGTTAGATACCTAATTAATAAAACCTTAAATAATTTATGTTGTGGGACTAAAATTTGCTTATAAGGATAACTAATATCTCAAACAGGAATTATTTAAAATATTAAATACTACAACAGAGCCTTGTAGCAATATCTTCTCTAATGGTACTTTAATTTACCAGCTTGTATAGGGAATTTCAGTATCTTGGAAATTAATTTGGGTAAAATAATAAGTTAACAAACTGGAAAAAATGTCCTTGGAGGGGAAAGAAAGTCAAATCTTACTTCATGACTGCAGCAGCTATTCCACTTACATCAGTATTTGCTCTAGGACTCTGTAGATGCTAAGGTTTAAAATTATATATCTGATTGTCAACACACTTCCAGATACTCCCATAGCAGAAGAGCAATACTTGTCTCCTGTTTAAGCTCAACATGTCACAGGCCAATTATTATTCAGGTTTTGTTTCCAAGTCAGACTTTAATGTGTAAGGATTTGATGTGAAGTGGAAGGTTGTTTGTAGGAGTTGGCTGCCCAGATTGAAGTATATTCTAGTCTTGAAAACTATTCTTGAACTATGTTTAAAAAAAGATAATAGAAAAAATAAGGCTATGACTTGTTAATGAGTTCTGTATTCTACTGGCATAGCCTTTTACCAGCTCTGGCTAATTCCCTGCTTTTAACCATATGGAAGGATTACTGCTCAATGTTTAACAATGCAATTTCTAGATTTCATATTTGTTTCTCCTGTTGGTAATCTGTTTTGGCCAGCTTGCTCTCAGACCTGTTTTGAACATCTTTCAAATAGGGAATAAAAAACAGACATAGCTTGTTTATAAATGCTTCTATCATGTGTTAACTATTTTGTATACTTACCTGAACACTGAATTAGAGTATTAAATTATGTGTAAACTAATTCAGAATGCAGTCTCTAGTATATGACTGGAGAGTATTGTGAACTCTTGCTTTTCTACTCATGAATTTTAGGAACAGGGAGAGGTGAGAAAGAGTTGTTTTTTCTTTTAAAAATAATTATATGCCCCTTAGAGACTTTGTTCTGAGATGTGGAAAATGTCTTCATTGGGTAACTCACAGCTTTTTAGATTTGAGCAAAACATTTCTTCAGAAGTAGTGGCCAAGAGTCTTTTAAAGATGCTGATTTCTATTGAATCTTTAAATGAGTTCTGTATATAAGAAACTGGACATTTAATAAAGTCATTGATCTTGACTGCCTTTTGTACCAGTGATGGTTAGTAATTTGAGGCAAGTCTTCTGAACTGGTGACTGATTAAGTTTTTGATGTATAACAAATCTGCTATTTGAAATTACTGGCAGATGTCAGAAGCACAGTGCAAAACAGGCTAGTTTTGCAAATTTTCTAGCCTTTTGTTCCTGTTGTATTTGTGTGGGTTTTGCAGCTGCTTCATGATCTGGTTACTAAACAAAAGTTAGATGTTAAACCAATGTCACTAAGTTTGGCCATTGTTCTGTGACTGGGAAGCAGCATGTAGGGGGCAGGAAAAAAAGGCGTAATGATGCTTCCATGAGGGGTGTTGCTTGCATGACTTGCCATGCAAGTTAAAAGTGTCTAAGTACTACCTCTTTGCAGAATGCACAATTCATTGAGTGAACTTCTTTAGAATCCTAGGTTTTGTACTTCTTTTAAGATGTCTTCAGTGAATTACAATGTATTTTCTCTGTCATCCACATATCTGTATAAATATCCTACCCATAATAGAATGAGGTGTTCACAAGTAATGCAAGGTAATGCTTCATGTCAAATTTGTTTTGACTTAGTAGCAAATGTTAATGTTAGGCCAGATTAACTCAGAAATAAGCATAGTTAGCACTTTTTATTAGAGTAAATATTGAAAGTGTGTTGTGAGAGAGATGCCCAACTGGCTTCAGTTTTCTTGCCATGCAGGTACTATTAAACTCTCTGATGATCCAAAGTGTGAAAGGTCAAACACACATCACTAATAAGCCAGGGCCTTTCATAGAACATATTTAAGAGAGGGTGAAGTGACAGACTGCCTAGGTTAAAAAAGAAAAAGCAAAAAAGGAATGGTGTGATGTCAGATTTGAGTCTCCTTTGCCACAAACCAAACCACAGATCAATCAGCTTCATGTACAAGTATGAAATATTTGTTCAGATATCCAAGATCCACATTCTTCCTGAGCTGAGATTACCTGTTCTAATGCCAGAAGAAATAGTAAATAGATTACTTGCTTTGTGGTTTAGCATACATAAACCAGAATCATAGCATGAAAATAGAACTGTTTATTGTGTGAGTGCTTTGCATATTGATCACTGAGTGCCTTGATAGCAGTTAAATTTTTAATATGTCAACTTCTGTGCTGTGGGATTTAAATAGTTTTCCTCAGCATGAAACTGCACAATTCAGAGTTACAAAATTATGCTTTTAAGTATAGCTGGTTGTGTATCCTGCTGTAAACAGTAATTTTAGCATTGTGTTTAAAACACAGACTGTCTACAGTGAGTGAAAAATCCCACTTGTATGTAGTTACTAATAAACAAAACATGATAAATGACACATACCTTATCTTGTTAGATACTGTAACTTTGTACCTAGGCCATGTTTTAGCAGACAGTAGTTGAGAGAATTTTTCATTCTACCTCACTGAATTTATAAACTGACCAATTCTGCCACTTTGTGGATAGCAGAAGGACATACAGGTTTTCTTGCCTGTGAGAGCAGGTGTTGATTGATAGACATTGTGGGTTTTTGGTTGTGT